ACACATGGACTAATGCAGAGGTATTTTATGTGTAATTTGTCAGCAGGTTTTGGACTAATATGATTCCCTCTGGTTTTTATACTAACCAGGCATTATTTACCTCTCATTGCTCTCTCTCTGCCTAACTAAACTTCCGTCCATGCCCTCCCCATTTAAAGTATCCCAATTTTCCCCATTTCTCCCTTAATAATTCCTGTTTGCTATGCTCCCCCCTCTCTTGAGCTCCTTCTACCCCTTTCTCCCCACAGTTCCTTGTATAGCCCTTCCTCTCCCCTCAATTTAACTATTGCCATTTTACACATTTCTTCCTTAGTAACACCTGTATCCTACTATTCTTCTCTCTCAGGTCCCTTCTCTCCCTTTACCTTCTTATTACATTTCATTGTCCTGGTTCTTGCAGTTACATCGGGATATATACTCACATATGAGGATTGGGTACTAGGATCCACAAATGAGGGAGAACATATGTCATGTTTTTCTGAGTCTGAGCTACTTTACTTAGTAAAACAGTTTCTAGATCCTTCTATTTAGCTGCAAATTTCATGGTTTCATCTTTCTTTACGACTAAGTAGAACTCCACTGTGCAAATGCACCACATCTCTGTTTTCTAATCATCAGTTGAGGGACACTTAAGTTGCTTTCATCTTTTAGCTGTTATCAAAAGAACAGCAAAATTAAGTAGTATTGGATGCAGATCTTCTTTAAATGTCTGATAGAATTCTGTTGTAAATCATTCTGGTCCTGGGCTTTTTTTAGTCGGGAGGTTTTGTACTACTGTTTCAATTTCTTTTTTGTGTTATGGGTCTGTTTAAGCTGTTAATCTCTTCTTGGTTTAGTTATGGTGGTTCCTATGCCTTTAGATATCCATCCATTTCTTTTAGCTTTTCAAATTTAGTAGCGTATAGGTTTTTAAAGTATTCCCTTATAATGTTCTGTATCTTTCTGGTGTCTGTTGTGATGTTTCCCCTTTCATCTCTGATTTTGTTGATTTGGAGGTGCTCTCTTTTCCTTTGGTTAAC